TGTCATGGAGACATACTGCTGGTAAGGAAGAAAAATTTGTATTTTTCGTCGGGTTTGCTTAGACTCTCATTCTGTACCTTTTTGCTTGATTAAATGGTGGCAACCCACCAAAAGCCTGCTATGTATCTGAAGCTCCAAGCTGTTGGGCGTACCGGCAATGGTAAATATTCACCAACCACAACCGTGGGGTGATCATTGGCTTGGCTGTCTTAAGTAGATGCAATGAGAGTCTTTTTGATTTGAAGACAGTGGGTTTGAGATTGTCCAAGAAATTGATTTCGAATGAAAATTGAATACTTCAATCTCTACCAACACAGTAGGATCTGACAAATCCTATCGGAAAAACAACTAATTTATCTGCTAGTACCAAGGCAAATACCTGATCATATTCGAGAAACATTTATGCACGTTTGGGAAGTGAATAAACGTGTGAATGAACATCTTGAAATGTAGTCACACGGTAGCATTTTTTGTAACTTACAATGAACATCTTGCATATGCTTCTTGTTCGTCCAGCATGAAGACCTTACTACTATCTAAAACAATGATCACCCATATACTGGTTTCGAAATATTATTCCTTCTCAGTTCACGTTAGATCAAACCAAGACCATTTATCGACATTTCATCGCTGACGACGAAAATTTTCACTGTGACGAAACTTGCGCAAATATCTGGGAGAGATAATTCAATATTCATCGGGCTATTAGCTTGGAAAGTAGTCATTTTTGAGAAGGTATTCAGCAGATTTTACCATAGGACCTATATGTACCTATGTGTCTATACCTTTTCACGGTTTCCTAAAACACATTTAATATTATAAAATCATTCATGAATTGAATCCAATATTTGAATTCAGCATTGATGAAGTTGTCAATATGTATTGTTGTTAAGAATTTAAATTCAGCCCTGCTGAACTGAGCCAACCAGGTTGTGTGAAAATATAGATCAAAGGGTGTGTGTCTGAAACAATCCATTTGGTTAATAATTTTTCCAACAATCGCGTGCAAACGTCGTTTGCACGAGACGATCCCACCTTTTGCGATGTTTCGAAAGCCACCCTGTGTAATTAACCTTACTTCGACGTTGCGCAGTAATCTCCTCTGTTTTCCCATGAATATTGGAACATTGTCAAACTAATTTCTTGAAAGTACTAACGCGGAATACTGGCCGAAACCAGTTAGGGATTCAATATTATTTTTAGCTCATTTACTAAGACTTTATTAGAAAAGCTGCACGCAAAAAGAATCCTCCACGAGAGGGGATAGATACAACAGCAGCGATAAAACTTATAAAAGATCAATTAAAATAATAACGCCTGAGTTAGTGCTGTGCACGTGTTACGAAATCCATTGCTAGACATTGTTTTTGTCCTGGTCAGTGAAAACCAAGTTTCGGTAGTGTTTAAATGTGGCGTTATGATCAAGTCTGCCAGTAGGGATGTAAAAGCCGCCGTAGCTTGGGCTGGTTCGGACATTATCATCAAATTTTTCGCGCCACCTGAGGAAAATTTTGTGGATGACGATGGTCAGTGAGTTCGGCATGTAAGCATTTATAATGCGTGTTTTTATTTCTTTTTTATCTCTCGATTGCCATTGTTTTGAATATGGAAATAATTGGCTCCGATAACAAAGAATTTCACTGATTAGAGTTTTATGTTGCTATTTTCAGAAATAAATACCGATGAGTGGAGTATATTAGTGTCCGATTGCAATATTTAGTTTTTGGTTAATATCAAAATACATTTTGGTCTTTGAATTCGCAAAATAATTTCTTCGAATGCAAACTTCAACCGCTTAAGCTTATAATCCACCGAAGCTTATCACAAAAAAGGTTTATAAATAAATATTTTACTCTCGATCGTAATTCTACAGATCGATATTCTGTTAGTTGGGTCCAGCAAAAAATTCCAGTGATAAAAATTTGTGTAAAAAAAGTAAAAAAAACAGTTCAAATCGTTCCGCAGATTCTTCATGAAACATTTATCTCTCCCAACGTACCTACATAGGCTTTGGTCGCGTTGAAATCAATCGAGTTCCAGTCACATTGCTGTTTGGGAAGGATCTTTTCTGCACTCGAGACCGATCTGTAGGTGATCTACTCGACTGATTTTAGCATGGTCCTACTGCTGGATGGAGGAGAAACTTCTGCAAGAATAACCTCTGTGAGGTATCTTGCACAAACGGCTGTCAGATATAATTCAATGCCCAGCATGGTATTAGCCGGGGAAATAGTTGGTTTCCGACAGACATTTACCAGAACCTACTGTGTAGGTTCGTTGGGAGATCTCTCCCAACGTACCTACACCTACGTAGCCAAGATTTCATTTCAAAATATTTATTTTCTTATACGTATGTATCTCTCCTCGATATAGTCTTCAGACTCATTTTGAATCATTTTTCTGATTTCTAATTTCGTCGTAGGTGTTGTAACAAAATAGAATTCTCAATTATTTCATTGAGATCCATTTCTCGTCAATATATCGATTTTTTAAATTTTTCCAGAAGTAATGAATATTTTTTGAAAATTCATTGTATAGACCACCATTACGGCATCAAAAGAAATAATATGCAATAGTTAAGTTATTACAAATGAAATGTATTGAGAAAAATCAATCAATGATATCCTCTGAAAAAAATACTTTCCAATCATTAATTTCATTTATAGTGAAAATTATTACCTAAATACCACAATTTACTGATTACATGATTGTACTTTTCAAAAGATTATATTACACAGTAATTTATTGAGATGAAATTTTCATTTATTCCTTTATTATACTTAAGTAGATCCTCTATTGATCTAGATTTATGTATTTATCAGAAAACCAGAAAACAATTAGAAACGATTTTTTATAGAACTATTTTATAGAAATATTATATAGACTGTCAACAGTTGCGTTATTTTATTGACGACAAATGACAAAGCTACATAAACATCATTATAAAATTAAAAAAAATCTTCACTAAATCATTATGATTCTATTCTAATAAAAAGCATAATTGATAAAAGATGAAAAAGATTAAAAAGATGAAAAAGATGAAAAGTTCACTGAGAAAAACTATAAAATGAACTTCTTAAAAAAATATGATTTTGAAAATATGCGGTTCAACTAAGACTCAAAGTAAATTTGCCTTCAAAATCATCTCACCTGAAAGCTATTAGATTATTTCCGTGAAAATAATTTTTTTGTCACTGTGCAGACACAATGTTGAAAACACTTCATGACAGGATTACTATATTCAGGAAACAAATAGAAATTGGAATACGGAAAATTTCACTTTTACGAATTATTTTTGAGGTAATGAAGTTCCTTAAACTTCCACGAACTTCCCTATTTGAATGGAACGCTATTTTTCTTTATCGATATCTTATTATATAAAATAGGCTGATAGTAACCAATAATGAAATGATGACCTGAACTTGATACTTCATTGTAGATATACAAGTACTGCAGGAAAATCATTGATCGATACTTTGGGAGTGGTGTGTGTATAGAAAGTGACGATTTATCTACGTGGAGAAACCTTCTTAGGGGAGTTTATTTTATCAGAACACCGGTTTCCAAATGAAAATGTTTTTGAAAACTGTGTATCGTTTACTCGATCATTTACTCGGTATACAGTTTTTAAAAAGCGATGGACAGCAATAGTTTTCCTCGTGCTTCAGATATATTCTGCTATTTATGGAATCAGAAGATTGAGCCAGTCGTACACTTTCCGTGAATGTATCTTTAATCATGAGGACAACACCCGAGCACCTATATATTGAAGACAAGACCCCAACATTTCTTTCATGTTGCAGACTCTAAAGGCTAGTTTTGATGTTTCGATTTCCAGACAGACGGTTGGCTCCTTTCAGAATAGAAACTAGCAGCATCAGGATGTACCTAGGAGCAGAGCTTCATACAGGCCGTTTTTTAAGCGGATTCCACTATTGCTATCTCGTTAACGGCGAGACCTACAATCAGTTACTACAGTCAGTTAAATTGGACAAAAGTTCACTATTTTGGTGAACAAGAATAATCTCTTTCCAGATCAAGAATATCAGTGGTTGTTTTGTGAATATTCGCTAAAAATTAGAACTGTCGAATTTCGTTTTTTGGATCTATCGCCCCATTCAAATGTTATAAAAAAAGGCAGAGGAACTTTCAATACTGTCTCATATTTGTTATAATCTGTTAAAAATCTGTTAGAATATGCTTCTCCGTTAACCAGCTGATATATGATATAAACCATATCGGAAACAGCGAGACCTACAAGATCGGCTGAATTGGACAAAAATGTACTATTTTGGTGAACTAAAATAATCTCTTTCCAGATCAAGAATATCAGTGGTTGTTTTGTGAATATTCGCTTAAGATTGGAATTGTCGAATTTGTTTTTTCTTTGGTTCTATCGCCCCATTCGAGTGATATAAAAAAAGGCAGAGGAAGTTTCAATACTGTTTCATATTTTATAATCTGTTAGAGATCTATTGAAATCTGTCAAAAAATCTGTTGAAATCAGTCAAAATCTAATGAAATCTATTTTTCCGTTAACCAGCTGATATAATTTGATATAAACCAATTTGCAATACGGCGATTTGTTCATTAGATTTCATTATCATCAATTTATTCTTTTTAGAAAGGAACCTCTAGTTTTTTTCCATTGATTATGGTATTCAATGTAATAACAAATTCAGCTGTGTACAGGTGTTTTCCTACGTTTGTTTCCGAAAAAACATTATCAATATTCGTGTAGTCTCAAAAAGGTAGAAACCAATATCTCAGAATTTAAAGATACATCAACTCCGTACATCTTTTGAAAAAATCTAAAGAAATGAAATTTAAATGTTCACTTCTTTAGATTTGTTTACTGCCGTCTTCAAGCATAACCCACTGACTAATAAGAAAATCTTTTGTAAAAATGTGGAAGAACTGTTCAAAAGTCAATTTTAATGGAACATAAATGTTAGTTTCTGATGTTTTCTGACAAACAAAAAAGTGGAGAAAAAAATTAACGAGTAAGAGTTGTACAGTAACTGAAAGAGGTGGTGATAGTGAAATTGCCGTTTTGGGTAAGTGCAGAAGACATTCTCGGTGATAATAAAGTGATATTTACTTTTGACTCAGGATTTATGGAATACTGAAACATTGAGAACAAAGAAGTATTATTGAGATATATTGTGATTGGAGAAAATATTTTTTGTTCAATACAATTTTATGGTGTGATGGGAGAAAATTCACAAATAATTGATGGTTTGACAGAAATATTCATTGAAGAACTTTTACGGCTGGAGATAACTGTGTGACAACAATTTTTCAGCTATTTCACGGCCAATAAACCCTGAAAATAGCTTTCACACAGAAATATTCATTATCACTGGCGATAAAAAATTCCTTCCTACGTAGAGCTACAAATGATTTTTATGATAGACTTGATGTGCTAAACACCAAGATTATAGCTCCCCTTCTTTTTTGAGATATCTTTGACGACGGAATTATACTTGGAATTCTTATCAGATACTCTGGTTGAATTGTTGGAAGATTTGCCTTTGAATGTTCTGAGGAAATATTAGTATTGTGATGGAGCTCCGTCAAATTGCAGTCACTATTTGCAGATATTTTCTCAATACTACTATGTCAGGACAATGGATAGAAAACAATGGTCCAATTGAATGGCCATTACGTTTACCTGACCTGATCCTTCTGGGATTGTCATTGTGGGGCTTCATTGAAGACAAGGTATTCGGCTCAACTTTTTGTAATATTAACAAATTGAAAGAAACAATTAGGAGAGCTTGCCTGGCTTTTACTTCACAAATATTGGAGACTTGCCATAAAAATTATATTGCAAGAGCGAAAGTGTGTTCAAGGATGGCAATTTGGAAATTTAAAGAGATATCGTAATCGACGCAGATAGATAGTACCATTATGACATTTTTGTTTCCGTTTGTTACTTGCTATATTATATGTCCTTTCGATATGTGGAGTTCATGTATAGCTTTGAGTTCTAGACCCGAAAAATATTGGTCCAACTTTTTTGACGTAGCTCTGAGCGAGAATTGTATGACCATATAGTAATGATGAACATATACATTGTAATACATATCTGGATTAGTTATTACAGTGGCTACCAAATGCAAATAAAAAACTATAGGTCCGTATTTAAAAAAATAAAGTTGATGATCAAATCTAATAAACGAAATGTCACATTGCAAATTGATTTTTATCGAATTATGATAAATATGAAACAGTTTTGAAAGTTCTTCTATACCTATTTTTATATCATTCGAAATGGAGGCGGTGTAGGCAAAAACGAAATCCGACAACTCTAGTTTTTGACAAATATATTTAAAACAGCCACTGATATTCCCAATTTGTATTCTAGTTCCTTGAAGTAGAAAACTTTTGTCCAGTTTACCCGAACTTGTAGGTCTTCCGTTTTCGAGATAGCAATAGTGGTTTTAACATGGGGAGTCGAGTGGTACATTATTTGAAAGGTCTTTTGTCCCTCTGTTACTTCTGTATTTTTTTTCGAAATTGGTTCATTCGATATTGAGAAATTTAGTGTTGAACATTTCATTTAAGAAAAAACAGAAAACTCGCTGCCGCTCTTTTTATTGAGGAAATCAACAAGAGTAATATCAATTTCAACACAATCAACCGATGAAGTATTCAAAATGACCTCCATCTAGTTCCATACAAACTGTCACCCATGTTCGGGTGAGACAGTTTTTGGACGAACGTTTTTCAATGCGTTGGATCGGCAGAAGGGGTCCAGTGGAGTGGCCAGCTAGATCACCTAAACTCACATCGATGGACTTTTTTCTGTGGATTTCTTTCTGTGAAGTTGAAAGTGTACTCTACTAAGCTTACAGAGGATTGTTCGGGATTGCCGATTGCTGACTCCGGACATCTTGACGACAGTGAATTTTCTGTTTTTTTCTTAAATAAACCTTCAACATTTAATTTCTTAATAACAAATGAACCGATTTCAAAAAAATACAGAGGAAATAAAGAGACAAAACATCTTTCAAATGATGTATCACTCAACCCCCATGTCATTGGAAAAAATAGCTGTAACAAACTGAATAGAGAAAAGCGTTTTTGTATAATTCAGTATTCATATGAGAGTATTTGTATCGAAAGTATATTTCTTTCGTGAAATTCAATGTTCATAGCTGTAAAAAGGGCTTTTTCTTTCAGTTTGTGTCTGAAAGTTACTTCTTTGCATGATCTACCATCTTCGTATATATTTTTTGAAAGTGGTATCNAGGCAGTTTTTTATGGCACCGAACAAAAATTTGTTATACTAATATTATTAATTAGGATATATTATATTAATCAAGCTAAAGAATTGTTTTCCTACTGATCGAGGAAATTATATTACTTCAAGAATAGACTATAGATCTAAAAATTTCATTGGGTACGCCAATGTTACCAAAACATATTCAGAAAAATGTCAAATTTGAACAATTTGCAAAATCTATTAAAATATGGAAAATCTATATTTTTCATGTTGTTTGTGCCTTGAAAAATATGCGAAATGACTACCAAACGAAACCATGAAAATGCATAAATTAGTTCACTTGTATGACTGACTCAGTAAACAAAAGGATTCAGGGATCATCTATACGTTCCATTTCATTATCAGAAATCAATGAACTTGCAAATAGAAGAACTGTATTGCAAACTAAACTTGTCGAATGTTTTTCATATTAACGAAATGATTATTTCAGCCCAATTTATTTAGCAAAATTCTCCGCTCTATTTGGGCTCTAGCTTAACCAGCTTAACAGCATGCTTTATAAAGCTCAGATCAGACCTTCTTTGGAGTATTGGTCTCATGTATGGAGCTCCGCCCCCAAACATACACTGAAGCTGCTGGATTCCATCCAGAAAAAAGCCATCGCTTGATTGGAGATGCGAACATCACGTGCAACCTTGATAGCCTGAAACATCGAAGAAAGGTAGGAGATTTGTCTCTCAATAGATACTTTCACGGAATCTGAATGCATGGGAATTTCGTTGGGAAATTACTAAGTCGCTTTGACTCACACTAAAATGTGACCTAGTCTTCAAATTTTATCTTTCAGAAAATTCTTGCACAGCGTCCACGCCAACTAATGGGCTACATTACATTTAATAACTAAACATATGAGATATAGAATATTTCCACATGGAACATGTTAGTACACTCGATTTCTTTAAGTTTCGATAAACATTGTTTCAAGGAAACATATTATTTGAGAAGCTTGAAAAAACCAAGGCTTGGGGATTATTAGGTAAATACTTTCAGATTCGATTACGGTACTGAATTTAGACAAGATTATTGAAAAATTGTCCTAGATATTAAAAAAAGTTGAAATTCCATTTGGTTTGTTCAATATTTTGTCAGGTTCAAATATTCGTAACTGTACTACAAGCGTTTCCGAAATAAATCGTATTCGCAGTGGAATTTTCCGCTGGCAGGCGGTGAATGAGAAACACGAATGTGTTTATATTTTTTACTGTAACATTATTCAGACAACATATTTAGTTTTGGGCGATTTATGAGAGAATTATATAACTATAACGTTAACATAAACCAACAGCAAAATAACAAAAATTTTCTTTGTAGGAAATTCCGACCGTAAACCACAAACAGTCCTTGACGATTCTATGTAATTCTCTTATGATAAATATGCTACAACATGAACATGTTTCAAACATTAAATGATCTCAAAAAGTTATTCCAATGAAAATGACTAATTAGAAACTTTATTACTTTTAACGATTAGTGTCATTTAGAATGGAACTAATTATTCGCATTATCGAGCATTATCTGATTTTATTGGAAATTGAAATGTTAGTAGGCTCTTATACTGAAGAATAATATAATCAAACTACAATCCGCATATACGTTGACAACAAATATTATCATAGAAGGGAAGAGGTCGTAAGTTCGAATCAGAAATATGGAAATTCCTCTGTTTCACTATAGATACCTTCTATCACTTTTATAATTGATAAAATTTTGCAAAACATTGCTGTTTTCGATGCGTCGCTGTAGTAACAAAACCTCGATGTATACAAGAGGAAAACCGAAATATTATTATTGGAAACTTTGAGTGCTGAGCGTTTTCAGTTCCTATTGAAAATTCTGATATATCTTGTGCAAGTAGACATCTTAGGAAGATATAAGCAAATAAAAGGCCGAAATGGTAAAAAGTGGACAACATACTATAAAGAAAAAATTAACAATTATACATGTATAATTGGATGTGTATTATTTAGTCAACTCGATAAATGACCTACATACCATTGTCGCTGATCATCTTCATTTTAAAAATTAAAATAGTGTCAAATTTTATTTGAGGAACAAATGAAGTTTAAAGCAGCTTTGCAGACGCATTATTGACATTTAGAAATGTTTTTTTTTGATCATATAGATGTCCCAGGCACAGCCAACCTCAGTGATTAGCCGTAGCAAGAGAGAAACGGTAAATGTTTCGAAAGTCAGCTTATTATCACCGAGAATTCAAATATTTTTCTATTACTGATAATGTGCCTGAAATAAATTCGGAAGTTTTGCTTAACAAAATAGTTCAGTTTCTTAAAAATTGCAATAATTTGAGAAGTAAGGTGGTGAAGCATTTGATATTCATTTTGATTTTTGAAAAAAAATTCAAAGTTCAATAGAAAAATATGCTCACCATTTCACTCGATGTAAATCAAACCACACCTCTTAGAACAAGTTTTTCAGAGTTTTTCATTTCTCGAAAGTTGAAGAAATGAACTCCGTCTTCTAGTTTAGTGATGTTATAACTAACTTTTGTGAAGATGTTATTGAATATATAGTCTCCACTGGCTTTACCAAATGAATTCAAAATACTTTGCTTCGGGTTCCAAAGTTAGTAAAAACCGCAGTACCTTCAATCTTTCCAATTTTGAGTTTATTCCGAAATCTAGCCTTACTGATCAATTGGAGGAAATTCACAGAACGAAAAATAGATGTACTACATCACACTCCGTTTATAAACTCATTAGGCAGTTTTTTATGGCACCGAACAAAAATTTGTTATACTAATATTATTAATTAGGATATATTATATTAATCAAGCTAAAGAATTGTTTTCCTACTGATCGAGGAAATTATATTACTTCAAGAATAGACTATAGATCTAAAAATTTCATTGGGTACGCCAATGTTACCAAAACATATTCAGAAAAATGTCAAATTTGAACAATTTGCAAAATCCATTAAAAGATGGAAAATCTATATTTTTCATGTTGTTTGTGCCTTGAAAAATATGCGAAATGACTACCAAACGAAACCATGAAAATGCATAAATTAGTTCACTTGAATGACTGGCTCAGTAAACAAACACATTTTTATTTTAGATTTGGAATCCAAAAAGGATTCAGGGATCATCTATACGTTCCATTTCATTATCAGAAATCAATGAACTTGCAAATAGAAGAACTGTATTGCAAACTAAACTT